TAAGAGGATGGGTCTGGGGATGGTTTTTGGGGCTAAGCTGGGCAAAACACGTGCCCGCGTGGAGCCATCCATTCCTGTCGCTACTGGTGCAGGCAGAGCTGCCCACCGGGAGGTCCTGGGGCAGGAGAGAAGGCTGGGCTGCTAAAAAATACAGAGGAAGTGGGGTCAGGCTGGTTTTGGGGAGGAACAACTTTGCTCTTCCTCCCTGAGCTTCATCCCGCTTGTATTTCCCTCCCCCAGAGCCTGCTGCCCCCAGGGGACCCTGCAGCGAGGAGCTGGGGCCATGAGGAGAGCATCCCCCTGAGAGCCGGGCGGTAAGTGCCACCAACGGGCCTCACGGGGACCCACTGGGGCTGCGTGGGAAGGAGGGGGGGCTCGGACCTCCCATCAAGCCCAGCTCTTGGGGCTTGACCTGGAAATCTTGGAAAACTCAGCCTTGCCCTGCAGCAGGCAGCTAAAAAGTTTAGTTTAAAAGAACCGTGTGCTGCAGTGGGCTTTGGCAGTCCTGTCACCCACCAGTGCTCCCAGAGCTGGAGGGGACCCTGGGTGCCATGGGAGTCCCAGGGGGGTTCAGGATCCTGCTGGGGCTGCCCCAGGTCCCCAGAGCTGTAGGCCTTGGCATTGTGCTGCCACCGAAGCAGGGATCTCGCTGGGCAACTGCTGAGAAGCAGAACTGCCTCTGCCAAGTGCTCCTATGGGAAATTAAGTGAGGGGGCTGAATTTTGGCACGGTTTGCTGTGCTGAGGAGCTCTGGACCCCTCTCCTCCCTGTGCTGACCATTGTGGTGGGGAAAGACATGGTGGGAGCAGATGTTGGAGGGAACGTGGTGATGAGGGAATTGCTGGGGACAGTTTCTCCAGGCTTTGGATGCAATAAAGGCAAGCAGTGAGTTATTTGTAATGGTAATTATGCTCTTCCAGTTTATCCTAGCACATAATTGTGTGGGCGGTAGGTTCCCACTGGTGGTAATTACCCTGGTGTTAAATGGCACAAAATTCAGCCAGGCTGAGTTTTCTCCCCGGTTTTGAGTCTGTGGTTTGGTGGCACAGTTCTCCTTCCTGAGGGCTCTGTGGCACGTACTGCACTTGGTGGGACACAGCTCCAGCTCTTGGTCACACCTGCTGGCCCATGAGCCACGCTCTGGAGCACTTGGAGAGCTGGGACTGGCTGGGATGTAGCATCTTCCATGGTGTGTCCCCATCCTTTGCCATCGCCCCTGCTCTGGCACAGCCTGTGGTGCTGCCTCCCCGGCGCGGCCCGACTGTGTTTAATTTGTGCTGCTGAGCACAAAGCCCGCCGGGCTGGTGGTGACGGGCTGCTCAACTATTTTGACTCCTTCTTCCCGCTGCAGTGGCAATATTTGGATCAGCTGAGAGCTTCCCTCCCCAGGCAGGAGGTGAGCGCTCATCCCGCGCAGGCAGAGCCGGGGCTGGGAGTCTGTGTGTCTGTCTGTCTGTCTGTCCGTCTTGCTGCAGATTGCCGGCCCCACCGCAGGGCAGGGGCAGCCCCCTCCCACACTGCTGTGCCCGCTCCCTGTAGCAGCTCCCTGGGGAGGGGAGAGGAACATCTCTTTGTGCCCGGTTGCAGCATCCTTCGGATAAGATGCAGCAACTAGGGAGCCTCGTTAGAGCAGGAGCGCGGTTGCGAGGGGGTGGGAAGGCTGCTGAGGGCAGCTCCCCGCCAGCCCCGCGCCCCTCGGGAGCTTCCAGCCCCTCGCGGGGAGCTCGCTCACCATCCCGGCACATCCCCGGCCCTCCCGGGGTCCCTCGTTTCCTTCTCCCGAATCCTCACTTGTCTAATAGTCCCCGAGTGCCCTGGGGACTGTCCCCAGCCACTTCTCCCTGCAGCTGGTCTTGCAGGCAGGCTGCCCACAGCACCCTGCCCAACTATGGTAACAAGAGCGTTAATGATGCCTGTTAATTAGCTGAGCTCTACCAAAGGCAGAGAGTTTGAGGGACTGTAAGGAAGCCAAACCTGTGTGCCTGCAGCCCCACTGCCCCAGCTCCCCAGGGCTCAGCCCAGCTGGATGCTGCCCGTCCTCCTGCTTCTGCACAGGGATGCCCCACGCGCTGCGTGACCATCGCTGCTCCTGGCTCTCCATCCACAGGGGTTCAGTGGGGCCGTGGGGATCACTGGGGGGGGGGCTGATGGTGAGTCTCCATCTGTGGTTGTGGTGGCCAGGGCCATACAGGGAGGGCAGGCTGGATGGAGCCATCAGAGCATGGCTGCCCTGTGCCCTGCAACAGCTCATTAGTGGCTTTGTGAATCACAACGGATGAAAAGCTCAGCCGGATCCGTTTTCCTCATAGAGAAACACTTCATAATATTTGGTGTTGGAGAAGAAAACAAGTTTCTGATGATGGCAGCATGTCCTCCCTCGCCGTCTGCAGGCTGCCTGCATCACTGCTGGCATCCCTGCTGGTGGCACCTTCTCCTTCCTGCCCCCCTTGGCTCTGCCCCCTTGGTGCAGCCCAGCCAGGGCTGACCCCAGGTACTCAGCCCTGGCTCTGTGCCCCCTCACCCTGCAGAGTGCCAGAAATCTGGCAGCCCAGCCTGGCTTCACAGGGGCTCAGACAGGGCCAGATCCTACCCTGGGAGCTTCCCAACCCGCTCGCTCAATTCCCACAGGACAACCCTAGTGCTTTGCTGGTGGTGGGGCGCAGAGGGGAGCGTGACGCCGTGTTGTGCCTGTCCCCACAGGTGAGCCCGCAGGGACAGCCCTGCAGGATGCCGAGGCTACGGGGCGGGTGCTGACACTATGAAAGGCTACCATGGGGAGCATAGCCAGGCACAGCCCTCCT